CTAAAAATATATAGAAAAAATTAGCCGGGCATGGTGGCGCATGCCTATAGTCCCAGCTACTTGGGAGGCTGAGTTACAAGGATTGCTTGAGCCCAGGAGTTTGAGGCTGCTGTGAGCTAGGATGACGCCACGGCACTCTAGCACTCTAGCCTGGGCAACACAGTGAGACTCTGTCTCAAAAAAAAAAAAAAAAGAAGGCAAGACATTGACTGGAGATTCACCACGTTGCTCCTAATACGTTTTCCAGGTGTTTAAAAACTGAATTGAAACAAGGATCAATGTTTACATGACATTTTGTAGTTTATAAAAGATGTTTATCTGTGTCTTTTGAGCTCCGTGGTCCCCATGAGAGGAAGAGGAGGAGGAGGCTGAGTCAGTGCCCTGTCCCTGCTGCCCACGGGTGGCCAACTCATCCGGGTCTGCCCGGGACTTGCCCGGAGTTAGCGTGAAAGTCCTGAGTCCTGGAAACTCCCCCGGTCCCGGCTGAACTGGGACAGTCGGTCTCTGCGCAGAGCAGAGCTGGCAGCGCAGGCCTGGCGCTGTGTCCTCAGAAGGTGCCAGCGAGGCTGCCCTTGGGGTGTCCGGGAGCCAGGACGGGGCCCCACCACCTCGCGGACAGCAGGGGTGGCTGGGACTAAACTGCTCCTGCAAACACCGCGATCTGCGCCCGACCCCTGGTTTCCTCTGCGGTCTGGAATCTCAGCACAGGCCAGGCGGGGGGAGGGGGGGAGCCGCGTGACCAGTCCCCATGGACACCCAGGCGGGGGGTCTCTGTGAGCTTCCCTGGGGACAACACTCTACGTGTGTCCTCACAGCTCCATGCTGGGGTGGAGTGCGTCCTGTGTGACTCCACGGGGAGAGGGTTCTGGAAGCTGGGCCTGGCCTCCCTGATGCACCCCACACGACCTTCCCCTTTGCTGACTCTGCTGTGTCCTTTTGCTGTCAGGAACCATGGCCGCAAAGACAACCACACGCTGAGTGACCGCACCTCGGGGTGGCCTTGGGGACCTCTGGCCAGTCAGCAGGGTGAAGCCTTATTTCAGACTGGACACCCCCCACGTCCAGGGCCCGACCCTTCTGCCTGGCCCTTGCTGAGGGGCCTTGTGGCTCAACTGGAAAAAGTAGGATCTGTCACCCACACCGCCCCAGATTCCTGCAGCCGCTGGCTCAGTGTACCTGACCCTGCACTAGAGAAGAGAGCCAAGAGACCCCGGCTGAGCCAAGGTCACACCTGCCTTTCCTGGTTAGGTCCAAATGATGGTACCCGGACAGGGAGGTCACCCTGCAGGCCACGCCGAGACACATCCCACCCTCAAGCTGGAACAGCCCACAGAAAACCTGCCACAGATAAACAATGCTCTCCACACGCGCCCCTCCTCTCGCCTGTGTCAAGCTTCATCCCTTTTCATGATCAAGTAATATTCTATCATGGGGATGGACCATGCTTTGCTGACCCATCACTCACCTGTTGAGGGGACTGTGGTTGTCTTCACTTTTTGGTGACTACAAATCATGCTGCTATGAACGTTTGCATGCAAATCTTTTTTGTGGACGTATGTGGTCATGTCTTTTCACCCTCTCATACCAAAAGCCCCTTTGAAAGCTCTAAGAGACTGGAAGGTTTTCAATGTCCCCCACTCAAATAGCCCAGCGCTGGTCTGTACTGTTTATTAATAAACTTACTAACATAAGGATGCATGCTGAGCAAGGCATGATACTGGGGCCATAGTGGACCCCTAGCCTGCCCACAAGGGCTTCTCAAAGTCACAGGCCAAAAAACCAAACCATGGCCCCAGGTATCAACAGAGAAGAGTCAGGTGGGCAATGCGGCCATCGGGGGATTTGAGAGTGACCTGGCTGCAGAGTCCTCACTGTGCCTCACGGGACGGACAGTACTTCGAGAAGAGAAGAGGAAGAGCAAACAATGTCGTGCCCAGCTGGTCAGTGAGGCTGGAAGTGCAGGGCTGTGTAGACAGGGTTGAGGGGTTTGGCTAACTCAAGGTACCCCCTGGGCACTGTGGACACTGGGCTTGGTTGTTTTTTTGGGTGGGGCATCCTGGGCACTGCAGGTGCTGAGCAGCATCCCTGCCTCCACCCACCCCATGCCAGGAGCACCCCCAGTGTGACAACCACAGATGTCCCCAGACACTGCACAAGGGTTCCTGAGAGTGGGATTACCCCCGGTGAGACCCCCTGGTTTAGCCCCATATATGGTGTGAAGTCACCCAGTCGGGGAGGACAGGGGGCCTCCCTGGGGACAGATGTTGGAGGCCCCCAAGGCTTGCAGCCTAATGACATCAGGGGCGGGTGGTAAAGGTAGCTGGAAATTTAGTGTCAGAGCGCAGGAAACGTGGGTTTGTCTGTGGAAAACTGTCCTGTGACTACAGCGGCCTGAAAATGCAGCTGGTGTGGGGGGCGGGGGCAGAAGCCCCTAGGCAGGGACTC